GTACAAGCTGTGACAGAGTACAGGCTGCACCCAAGCCACGGAAGAAGATGTCCTGGAACTTAAAGGATCACTATAGTGCCAGGAAAACATACTAGTTCCCTCCCACCCTCAGGGCCCCCTCCCACCGGGCTCTATGGGGTGGAAGGGGTTAAATCTTACTTGTTTTCCCTCCTCCTTTTCGCCGTCGTGGCGGCCATCTTGAGTGGGGAATTGGCTTAACCCCTTAAGGACAGAGTAAAACATATCACAGCGATGATATTGTCAGTGAAAGTGACTTTAGCATTTTTCACACACAAACAGCACTTTTACTAATGATATGATTGTTGTGATACATTTTCCTGTTTTGAAACACTAATATTTGTGTTCAGCAAAGTCTCGAGCATAAAAGTACCCCCCCCATGTACAGATTTTATAGCGTTTTTGAAAGTTACAGGGTCAAATATATGGGTCAAATATTTTTACATTGAAAATGGCCTGGTTGGTTACGTTGCCTTTGAGAGCGTATGTTAGCCCAGGAATGAGAATTACCCCCATGATGGCACACCATTTGCAAAAGAAGACAACCCAAGGTATTGCAAATGGGGTATGTCCAGTCTTTTTTAGTAGCCGCTTAGTCACAAACACTGGCCAAAATTAGCATTCAATTTAGTTTTTTACTTTTTTCACACACATACAAACATGAACGCTAACTTTGGCCAGTGTTTGTGACTAGGTGGTAATTTTCCAAGTAAAATTCAAAAAACATGTATTGTTTTCAATTCAAGATTATATAAATAATGGTATGTAAAGAGAGCCCTTTTTGTCCTGAAAAAAAAAAAATATAATTTGTATAGGAACAGTAAATAGAGTGGAAAATTCGGGATTATTCTAACTCCTAGTGACCGAATAATCTAAATTTTATTAAAGACAGGAGGCGAATATTTGCTTATCTTTCTTTACTGTAACTCCCAGCAGCAAAGAAACAGTTAACAGTAGTGTAAAAAAGGTTTAACCAATCAGTAAGCATTACAGTAGTATAAACTGTCATCAGGCTCCTCCCAATTCCTCTTTCTTGATGTAGCCGAACAGTCGTAGAGTCAACCATGTAAATGTAGAAGAACTTAAAAACGATGAACAGGTAACGGTGTAGGTATCCGGTAGGATGAAGGTAGTGATCAACCCGCGGGTAGATTCGAGACAGAAGGCAAATGATCTTCACACTAGGAGGAAGGAGAAACATTGTGAAAGTATGGTCTCTTTGGCAAGAGAAAAACCAAATTAAATGCAGTGAACTGAATGTCAATTTAAGTGCAAGCTCTAACTATGATAATTAACTGTGTGATATGTAGAGTAAGTGACATACCTAGAATATAATAACCAATGTACCATTGAAAAACGGGTTAGCATATAATAGCGACCTAATGAGTATAGGCTAGAGAAAAGAGAGGATGCTAGTCATAGTAGAACTGGAGATAGTACAGGATACTTACCTAAAAGGGTGGGTAAAAAGAAATCCAGGGTGGGAAAATATTCGCCTCCTGTCTTTAATAAAATTTAGATTATTCGGTCACTAGGAGTTAGAATAATCCCGAATTTTATGGCAAGACAGGAGGCTTCATATTTGCTATTTTAACGCACAGATAGCAGAGACAGAGAAACGTGTGGAGAGTGTCTGAAATAAAAGGTACGGAAGGTGGATTCTCTAGACCAATCAGCGGAGGCTAGAATTTCCGCTAAGGAACCTCCGGCTATGAGTGCTGAGGCGGCTGCGCCTCTAACCGAGTGAGCCCCGAAAGAAGCATCAATGCCAGCCAGGGCTAGAAGCCATTTAATCCAACGTGCAATGGTAGGGCACGAGACTGGTTTGTGAGGTCGTACATAAGACACCAGGAGGGGCCCAGTAGGTGGTCTGAGAGGGGTAGTGCGGGCAATATAGTGTCGTATACACCGGGCTACGCAGAGGAGGGGTTTCTCCGAAAAGTAAGGGTAGCTCACAGTAGACGAGTTGGTCTTGGTGCGTCTAGTGATATTGAAGTGTACCCCCTCCGGTGTGAAATCGAGGGCATGAAAGTCGAAAGCCCTGATGTCGGAAACTCTTCGGAAGGAGACCAAGCAAAGGAGGAGAGCTAGTTTGGCTGATAATTGGCGTAGGGAGAGCGCCTCGTTGTCCGGCCAAGTTTCCAAGAACGTGAGCATGATGGCCACGTCCCAGAATTGGTTATATTTGGGATTCGGGGGTCTAGCGATGCGTATGCCCCGCAAGAGTCTACAGATGGAAGGGTGTTTGCCTACTGAAGAACTTTCGATAGGAACGTGTGCTGCAGAAATAGCAGACCGAAACACGTTAATGGTCCGGTAGGATTTACCCTGGTCGAACAGAGACGAAAAGAAATTGATAATATTAATTATAGATGTTGAAAAGGGATCAAGGTCCCTTTCCAGGCACCAGCAACTCCATAGGCGCCATGCAGAGATGTAAGACCGTCTAGTTCCCGGGGCCCATGAGTCCCAAAGGAGTCCCTGAGCAGTTGTCGAAAGGCCTGAGACATTCCAAGATCCCCTGAAACGGTCCAAGCCACTAGTTGGAGATGATCCTGAATTGCCAATGGGTGAAAGTTGCCTGTCGGGTCTCTGAGGAGGTCGCAGGTGCTGGGTAGCAGCAGGGGAAAATCCACTGACATTTCCAGGAGGTAAGGATACCATGGTTGGGCCCGCCATAGCGGGGTCACTAGTGTTATCCTGGCACCCTGAGTTCTGAGGTGCTGTAGTGTGCGTGGAATCATGGAGAAAGGAGGGAATGCATATGCCCCGGACATCGGCCACGTCTGTAGGAAGGCATCGACTGCAAGGCACGCTGGGTCTGGCAACCAGCTGTAAAAAGCGTCCGTCTGCCTGTTGAGGCGAGATGCAAAGAGGTCTAGGTTGAATGGTCCCCGGCAGGCCTGGAGACGGTGAAATATTTGTGGATTCAGTTGCCAATCGCTGGAGTCCCTCCAGTGTCGGGAGAACCAATCTGCGACGAGGTTGTCTGATCCCGGTAGATATTCCGCTCGCAGGGAGATATTCCTGTCTAGGCAGAACTGATATAATTCTTTGGTCAGATCTGAGAGCATCTTCGATTTGGAACCTCCTAGATGGTTCACGTAACGAACCGCGGACACGTTGTCCATCTTCAGCACCACGGAGCAGTTGTAGACATCCTTGGCGAAACTGCGGATTGCGAATGAGCCTGCAATCAGTTCGAGGCAATTGATATGAAGTGCTCGTTCCGAGTGGGACCAGAGTCCTCCTGTAGAGCTTTCCGAGCAGGTTGCGCCCCATCCGAGCAGACTTGCATCCGATTCCAGGACGAAGTCTGGTTGGGATCCGAAAATGGCTCTGCCATTCCAAGCGTCCATATGTTGTAGCCACCAATGGAGTTCGAGCCGGACTTCGTCCGTGAGTGTGATCTGTTGGTCGTAGGACGTCGACTGATGTAAGTATTGGGTCTTCAGGCGTTGTAGTGCTCGGTAGTGCAGTGGGGCAGGGAATATAGCCTGTATTGAGGCGGAGAGCAAGCCGATGGTGCGGGCCAGGTCCCGCAGACGGAGGTGTGGTGATATTAGTAACCTCCGAATGTCTCTTTTTATGGATTTGACTTTGGATGCCGGAAGTTGAAGGACTGCTTGAACAGAGTCTATCTGGAATCCCAGGAATTGTATCGTCTGGGACGGTGTTAGGGATGATTTCTGGTGATTGATCACGAAGCCAAGATTCTGCAATAGGGCGGAGGTCATGCTTGTGTGAAGGTGGAGAGTTTCCTGGTCTTGTGCCATGAGGAGGATATCGTCCAGATAGATTATGGAGCGGATTCCTTGGGAGCGCAGTAATGCCATCACTGGTTTCATTAGTTTGGTAAAGCACCAGGGTGCAGAAGATAGGCCGAAGGGGAGGCAGGTGAACTGCCATAGTGCTTGTTCCCAACGAAACTGAAGGAGGCAGCGGTGTGCTGGTGTTACCGGCACCGTGAGGTATGCATCCTTTAGATCGAAGCGGGAGAACCAATCTCCCTCGGAGAGTAGGTCTCTCAATAAATGGATCCCCTCCATTTTGAAGTGACGGTATGTGATGAACCTGTTCAGATCTCTCAGGTTGATGACAGGTCGTAGACCTCCTGATTTTTTCTTGACTAGAAACATGTTGCTTATGAAGGTCTGTGGACCAACAACTCTTTCGATCGCACCCTTGGTGAATAGATCGTCGAGTTCGCTCCGTAGAGTGACTCGTCTAATAGTGACATTTTGATTGGGGTAGGAGGAGAATTTTGTATCGGTACTACTGAAAATTCCAGGTGGAACCCGGACACCGTCTGAAGGATCCAAGGATCCTGAGTGAGTTGAGACCACTGTTGGGAAAAAAGGGTTAACCGGCCTGCAATAGGAATATGAGAATAAGGAAGGTCCATTACCTGTAGCAGTGCGACCGCAAAGGGAAGCGGATCCACGTCCTCGGATAGCTCCGCGAGAGGGGAAGAATTGCCTGTGGTGGAATCAGGTATTGCCCGAGTTCCAGGTGTCTGAAGGTCGAGGCCTGTAGCCCGTGAAGGCGGCTCTGCCAGTCGCTCGGCCTCTATAGCGACCAGCTCTTCCGGAAAAACGCTGAGTGCGAAATACCTTGCGAATGGAGGATTGTGCCTTTGTCAGCGTGGTAAAAACAGAGACATGCTTACTTAGTTCTTTTATGAACTTGTCTCCGAATAACATGCCTTGAGCCTCTGGACCAAGTTCTTTAGTGCCCAATTCGGCAAGCTTGGCATCGATTTTATAAAGGACGGTCTTCCGCCGTTCAGTTGATATTGCCACATTGGCATTGCCTAAAAGGCATAAGGCCCTTTGAGCCCATTCTCGCACCATATGTGCATCAAATGTGCCACCTGATAGAGCCTCGTCTGCAATAATGAAGATTTGTATGAGCGGGCCCGCCACATCCATCAATTTGTCTTGAGTGGCTTTCAGACCCTGTTCTAGGCCCTTACGGGGGTCTTTTACTGACTTGGTTAGAAAGGTCACAAGGAAAGGGTCAAATTCGGGTGTATTGGCCACCTTGTCTGGGATAATGGGACGTGGGCATTCTGCCCTTAATTTGGCTCTCACCTCTTTTTCTAAAGGCCGACGGAGCCACATTCTACAGTATTTGGCAATGTGGTCCGGGGACGTCCATTCGGCCGATCTAGGGTGCCTGATGCATCTGGGGTCAAATAAGGGGCGGCCAGAGGTGTCAAATAAGGTATCCTCTTTTAAATTAGGGTTTTCAGAGGTGAGATCAGACTCCAATTGGAATTCCTCTAGAGGTATGAGGGGTTCATTAGTTGCAGAATCGGAAGGGTAAAGGTCTCGGAATGTCTTATGAGGCGGAGCCTCAGTATCCGAGTGTTCTGCATAGTATTCGTCTAATACTTGGAGATTATAATTAGAGGTTGAACCCTCGAATGCATCAAAATCATGTTGGGAGGTGGACTGCTTGGGTTTAGAATAGGGCACTTTAGGATGTTTAGCAGGCACTTTGCCTTTACCTTCGCCCTTCCAAGGGCGTTTGCGAGGGGCTTCCTCATGCTCTGAAGCGTGAGAATCCTCGGAGTCTGAGAGTTGGGTAATGGTCGCCGTAGGGGCTGGGATTGTCTGCTCGCGGAAAGCCGCCAAAGCTTTGGGTATAGATTCAGTAATGGCATTGAAAAGCCAAGCCTTAAGTTCGGCAGAAACTGCTGGTTCTGGCACATCCGACATAATGTCAGTAACAGTGGGGTCACCACAAAAGGAATTAATTATTATATTTACAATATATATAAATGTTTTTTATTTTTTTTATTTTTTTTATTTTTTTGTGCAGACAAATTAATTACAATGAGGCGGTGGACTTAGACTGCGTGTAAAAAAGCAGGAGAGCAATTATCCTGTAAAAGTGGAGTTCGTCCACAATTTATCAGTGGGGTTCACCCAGAGAGAGAAGGACAATATAGTGTCCAAGATCTAATAACAGGTATGTGCCTGTGTTATCATATAGGGATTACCCTGTATAGAGGCAGCAAAGGGGGTCACCCTTGAAGGAGAGGCTAGAGGGGGTCACCCTCAGAATAAAGGCTAGAGGGGGTCACCCTCAGAATCAAGCAAGGATTTGTGTAAGCTGTGTTGGCAGTTATGTTGAAATCTGCAAGAAAATTGAAGTTTTGAGTATTGGGTATGTCTTTAAATTTTTTTAAAACTAAAGGGTCTGGGGCTTTAAGATATAAAAAAATATACTTACCAAACGGCTGGGTCGCGATCGCAGTGAAGAGCCGAAATGCAAGGGAAACCGCCGCGCATTAGCCTGCCACAAGATGGCGCTGAGAGGGAAGCCCGGGAAAAAAGCTCACAGAAATGGCCGCGGCATGAAAAAAAAAAAAAGGCGGGACGCGTCTCTATGGAGACGCCAGGGCAACACACATTGTGTGTGAGGGAACTGAGCGGCTGAGCGGACCGGCAAAATGCCGGGCGCTGCGGGGAGAGCGTGAGTGCTATTGGAAAATTAAACTGACAGTACAAACAATAAAAGAGTGAGGAAATGTTGTGGTAAACTGAGTTTGTGGGCTGACTGGAGTGTCAGCCCATGTAACCTAAATAAATAGAAGCAAAGCAAGAAACATAAAAGGAAAACTATATGAGAAATATTAAAATATTGAAATAATATACAATATATATTAGTCAGTTAAACTAGAGAATAATA